GGACTTTTCAGTAGAGATGTTGTTCTTAAATACAGAGCCTGGAAGCCATGCCTCCGGAAGCGGGTTGGACTAGATGATCCACAGAGGTCCCTTCCAACCCCTACCATTCTGTGATTCTGTGTGATTCTGTGACTGTGATTCTGGTACGCAAAATATAAGAACAATCCCTGTTTGTCACTGATTTTAAAATCTATAGTTTAGATCAGCTAGCACCAAAAATGTTTGGAAAAATGACTGCAAGTTATTCTGTCCACAGCTGAGAAGCGAAATTCATCTACACAGCAGCAATCAAATATGAAACCTGTAGGAAGTCTCTGCATTTTCCATGAAAGGCAGGTATTAGGAAAACAATGTTTCATCTGAGGCTTTTAAGAGTACTTACACAAGGGGCAAATTATTTCCAGGTCAACTGCTATGTAAAGACAAACATCTGGGATTCATTGACAGCCTCATTTACACATATGCAATGACAGTCTATAAACAGATTGAAAAGCCAAAAATAATTAAAATAAACTCTAAACAGCCATTCACTTAAAATTACAGATTTTACTCTCCTTTGCTTCATTTTTCAATTACATCTACACAAAGTGAGTCCAATGCAATGACATTACATTATGACACATTTGCATATGCAAAAAACATGTCTACAAAACCAGTAGAGAGTTACGTTTATCTTCATTCAAAAAACTGTTTTAAATAAAATGAAAGCTGTAGGTGTTAGTTTCAATGCTTGGATAATAACAGAAACTATACCTTTGGGAGAAGCTGGATTGCTTGGAGTATTCTCTGTCTGTGTCCAGAGTTAAGGATTCCTATTTCCAAGAGATCCTGGTCCTCCATTACGTTGCTTCCCTAAAAATGGAAAAACAAGGTAAAATAAAAATGAAAAAATAGCAGATGCCTTCAGTAGCCTGAAACAAGCCCTTCTGTTGCATTTAAAAGAGAAAATTTTGAATAACTTCTATTATCTGACAAGAATCACAAATTACTGATGATTGCATTCATTGTCACGAGGACATAATATGGTGGAAGGTGCTTGAACTCACGGACAATTACTATACTGCTGGCAGTGCTAGTAGTGGAGAAACTGGAGCTCTTACTCCAGCCAAATACCAGATGTGAACCTTCTTTCATCTGATGGAAACCAAGGACATGACTAGAGAAATTTTTTCATTCCCCTGCTACTTCACCCAGCTATATACGCTGTTCTTTCTTCTCCAGACTGAGCACAGACAGCATAAGCAGAGTGGATGAGGATAAAATTATTTGCTTCCGTGTTAGTAAAATGGTGAGAAAAACAAAGAGAGGGTGTGGTATCAACAAACTGCATACAGTTCCCACCCCCCTAAATTTAACTGTACCAGCGCAGTCCTAACTTCACCCACCACTGCTCTTATCTCCCTGCTTGCACGCAGGTCAGCTAACTTCTAACATGCAAATAGCTGACAAAGACCAACTGTTCAAACAATACACAAAATAAGCAGCCTCAAAAGTTCATAAAATAAGACTCCACAATTCAAGCCTGTATTCTTAGGACTTGCTACCAGTAGGAGAGGACCTATAGCTCCACAAACAGGATACTATGACTCCTAAGTTCAAGGAGTCTGACACCACCTAGATAGTGCGTTCAGCATTTAAAGGTTAAGGTACTTTATTAGCTGGCAGCAACTCTTGGGAATCACAGGAGGCACAACAGTAGCTCAAAAATGGAACTGAAGCCAGGGATCAAATCAAGATGGTTCAAAGTAGTCTGGCATTCTTGTATTGCTTTTTTAGACTACCTCATTTTAGACAAAAACTCAGTGGGTTTTTTTTAGTTTTTAAAAAGCTTCGAACTATTACAGCTGTGAAGAAAACCTGCAAAAACCAGATGACCTGTCTGAAATCTTGCCCCTGTTGGAGTCTCTGGAGTCTCATGACACTAATTTGCTCGAAGAAAGAATTCTTATTATTTGCACTCATTTAACATCATCACAAAATAGGCTTTATGTGAGCAAATCCATTAAAAACTTCACCTTTCCATTTGGCTTGCTGCTTCTGACTCAGTAGAAATCTTAAGTGGCAGCAAAATGAAAAGCTAATAGGTGCATAACAGAACATGCTTAAATACTTTGCTGAATCAGGGCTTAATAATGGAGATGAATTCTTTCTGAATATCAAATCTCCTGTCCTACAGCAACATAGCTTTATTTCAAAAAGCACACTGGAATATGCAATACTTCACCCTGTTCAGCTGCTAAATCTCCACTCTTTTCAGATGGGCTGATTAGTTTACAGATGGACCCTTGAGGACTCTCAAGTGCTACTCTGCAGAGTATCCTGCAAAATCTAGGAGAGGTCTTTTTAAGGCAATCATGGCAACTTTGCAAAGCTATTACATTTGAAATTATATTTCATGGTAAGTGGTATGATTTAAGACTACAAGTCTGCAAATCATATCCTGAAAGAATTTGTGTGCAGCATTCAGAACAGGGACAGGCAGAGATCTGGTCTAAAGGGAGAAGCTGTGCAGTCGTGCCGTTTTAAGTAGATCAACTGGTGTAAGAGTGCCTGCAACACAGGGTGTGCAAACAGTGATAGTGATGAGGTGGGGTTAATACCCCCTTCATCTCACTGGTAAACACATATGAAATGTAATTTCCCCTTTCTTCCTTTCTCCTGTAAATAACCTAAAGGAGGCTGTAAACATAGAGGAAAAACTGGGGAAAAAAAACCCTGCATTTTGGGCTGGATTCTCCAGCTGCTGGAAATAGCATAAATGGATTTATGTAACCCGAGCCAGCTGAAGATCCAGTCCAAAATAAAGACTATACATTTTTGTTCATTTTAATAAATGCAGCTATTTTGTTTACAGCTACTGCTTTCAGTTCATTTCATTGTTTTTCAGATTTCACCTTTCATCACCGCATGATATTTATACACAGTCATGGTACACTCATCACTGAGCTACTACACACAGTTAACTGGTGTCAGTAACCTTGGCGTCCAGCTTCAAATACTGCAATGTTTAAAACCCAGTTCAAGTAACACTTAGGCACAGGAAAAATCCTGTCTATTTGCACAAAGTTGCTGCATAGCAGAGACAGCATTATTTTATTAATTCTTTACTATTGTTTTTACCTTATATATTAGTTCATATATTTTGTTTCTTTGCAGTTTGGTATTATATATTTTTTAAAGTATGTCAAGGTTACAAAATCAAATATTTAAAACTCAGGGAAGCCTCCTTGTCCCCTGTTGGAGAAGGCAACAACCTGGTCTTTCAGCGTGTTCAGATTTTGGAGATTTTCCTGTGTGTTAGCATCAATGCCAACAGTAGCAGACACTCATCCCTCCTCTAAAACAGACTTCACTGTGTGCTGTCATAGAGCTAAGCCAGTTCTTCTTCTTTCCACAGGAACAAACCAGGAAGCTTTAGATACTCAGTCTGTACCCACTATTGCTTAACATAGAGGAGTAAACTTATAGCAGTAGAAAGCTACAGACATGCCTGTGAAGAGAAAGAAACAGTCCTCCTTATTCCTATCTCCCTGGTATCTGCTCCCATTCTCCCCTTAATACCAGTCCCTGATTCTTTTTTTACCCGATTCCTCCTCTTGTGCTCCTCCAGTCTCCTTCCATAGGGTCCTACGTTGAAAGTGAGGAAAACCTTACTTCCTTCTGCAGCAGATCCAAGACAAGAGGAGAAATTCTCTCCCTGCTCTTAGCTGCCAGGCACACATTTGTTATAAGCTGGGCCAAATTTAACCTCAATTAACTTTACAGAGATGACATGGTAAATGTAATTAAAATGAATATTAATGCAAGAATGTCTTTTCACATTACTACAGCCTTAAAAATAGCTGAGCTCTGTCAGCTGAAACATTCACCAAAAAGAAACTATTCTAGCAGACACCTAGAGAATTTGAGTCTAAAGATTTAACTTCAATATGCTTATATACAGAACCGGCATTTCTAACAGGGAATATGGGACAGCAATCTCTCTGTGGGTTATTATGCTCTTATTATGCAATAAAAACATAAGAGGCTTTGTGATATTATAGTTTCTTAAGTCTATAGGAAAACTTAGTTGGAAGGAAAACTTGCTTCTCAGAATTAAAGCAGTAAGAATATATCAAAATTGCTTATACTAGGACAGACTCAGATCTCATTCACTTCAGCTTACACTGTTGAAGTTCCTGTCTTGTTAACACATAAGAGCAGTCTTACTTATGAATTAGAAATGTTATTGTTCTGAAGTTCCGGTTCTGCACAGTTCTCGGGAATATCATCTTTTTCCCTGTAAGCATATACAGGAAGCCAATCTCCTGAGTAAGAAGGCAATAGTTTCACAGAACAGTTGGGCTCAAGAAGGAAAGAAAAACGACTCTGCATGTGGGAGACTGAAGGCACATGAAAAACAACACAATTTAAAAAAAACAGAAATTTTGCCAAAATCTGACATAGTTCCTATAAATAAGTTCAGAACAAAATATGTAAGGTAGACTATGAGATAAAGATTTTACTGGCATTTATTTGGGTTGTGCCACACAAAATCACCTCTGGCACTTTCCACCTCAAGTTAATGTAGCCTTCCCCCCAAAATGCTGGGTTAGACCTTTATATCAGATTCCTAATGTACATAAGTATGTATAAATGTACACAGAATCTTTAGAAAATAATTTAGTCTGGAATATGTCAGATTTACAGCAAAAAAATTACTCTTTATTAAAAATAGCCTAATTTTAATACATTAAACAGCTCAAAGAACCACTAAAATCCATTAAAGAAAAAGATTCATAAACTTGTAGACAACTTCATTTACTATCAAAAAAGAACAGCTTTCAAGATTCTGAAAAAAAAAAAAAAAGACACATCCTACATCCAGCAGGAGCAAAAGCACTTTGAAGATTTGTCCCTGAAGATGGTGATTAGAAGAACATAGTAGGATGATGGGCATGACTGTATGTTACTCATTGCACCCATTTTGTACATATGTTTTGAATCTTTCTTCACATATATTCTGTGCAGGAGACCTATGATGAAAAATGCCAATGTCAATGGCTGGGAAAAAAAAGAAAGAAAAAATGCAAAATGGAGACTGAAGTCAGAGGGAGAAAACTGAGACCAAAAGCATCAAAGAGCTCTATTGTTCCTTACCCATTCCACCCCAAATGCATACTGGGAAGGAAGGGAGCAGGCATCTGGTACCAATGGGAACAAGGACTGTTACGAAGCACCTCCTCAACGGCTCACTAAAACAGCCCCCTCTTCATTCCTAATTGCTTTGCTTCTCAACCACCTAATCCTAATATCCTTCCAAACTGCATCCCCTTGAAACAGTTGACATCTAAAGTGTCCTCGGTCTGGGAACAAATTAAAAACATATCACAAAATGGTTAAGGACACATCGAATAATCAGGACTTTTCTTTTTCATTGTCTAAATCATACACCAGAAGGTTTATGAATTTTCATCACAACACAGGTTTTCCACAAGGTAAAAGATTTTATTTCTTAGAGACTTGCAAGAAATGACTAGAGAAATGTAGTTTTCAATAACGAAAACGGCTTCTTCTTCGTGCAAAAATTTCAGGCAATGTGCCATACATTTCATCTCCAAACAAGAACTGGCAAATGACCAGAATTTAGCAAGCTTCAGTGTGAGTGAAAAGGTTGCTTCTCACTAGTATTGCCACTGTTAACATGAAAACAAGATCTGTAAGAAGGATTATTGAGTGAAATGCTTAACTTGTACTTTGAGGTCAGAAAGATTTATCAGATTCCTGGAGATAGTGCAGAAATTGTTATTTCACCTACAAATCTGACAAGACTACGTTAGAAAAATCCCCTGCAGAAGCATGAAATTTTGCCT